TCAAAATGGAGAGGCAAATCTGGGAGGGCAAATATGGGAAGGCAAAGAAAAGAATTGTAGTAGAATTTTTAAGGCCATTTTTTTTTTTTTTTTTTTTTCCTTCACATTTAATGCGTTAAAAATTAAGGCGCATTTGTTTTAGTTTTTGTATTTTAAAAAACACTTTATATTTTTTTTGTTTCCTTTTCTTTTTTTTTTTTTTTTTTTTTTTTTTTTTTTTTTTTTTTTTTTTTTTTTTTACCCTTTTAAATTTACCTCCATTGTACTTTTTTTTGCACACATATGATATGTGTTTTGTGTAATTCTATCGTGCAATGAGAGTATATAACCAAAAGTTATATTGTCGTAAGACATGTGATATACAAGACATTGGTGTGTCGTTATTTCATATATTTTCAAAATTCTTTTGTTTCCTCAAATTTCAAATACTTGTTTTTATTTGTGTGTGTTGGTGGAACCGGTAACACACAAAATGCCAACACCCACATATGTACTTATTTGTATATACATAAATACGTACATATATACATACTTTGTTTTGCTTATATATTCCTTTTTATTTTATTATTTTATTTTATTTTTTTTTTTTTTTCTTATTCTTTTTCATTCGTGTTTCATAGTTTTATACTCCATTTTGCTATTGTACAATTTTCAAAATGTAAACCAACCGGTTGTTTGTTTTTCATCATATATTTTTATATCTTCTGTGTGCGTGCAAGTGGTATGTTATGTTATATGTATATGTAATGCGTAAAAAAAAAAAAAAAAAAAAAATGGGAAAAAAAAAAAAAAAATAACTTCATTTGTTTTACTTTTTCCCCTCGTTATAGTACATCTTACTGCCCCTCTCCCAGAATATTTCTCAATTTCTCTTCATCCCACTGTTACCTATTTTTGCTATACTATTATTCCATTCATTTCATAAAGAGCATATAAATAAAGACATTATTTTCCCCGTAGTAAAATTTACATATACCTTATTAAAAATTATCGTATCAATTCGAAAAAGCGAGAATGCAAAAATAAAAGAAAAGCAAAAAAGAAAAAAAAATATATATATATATATCGCACAACAACGCTATAATTCGAGCAACACGCAAGGGAGAGACAGAATCCTAATCCAACTAATTGTTCATTCTGTTACATATGGAGGATTATACCCTGGGTAGGGGGCCTCCAATTTCTTGTGTGTATCCAAACCATTGGAGTGAAGTAGGGGAGATAAAACATATACTTTTGACAGTTCAAATTATTTTCTTTTAAAAAGTTGCACAAAAGGGGAGCAGAAAAGAAAAAAAAGTATATTTACCCAGGGAGGTGAATAAAATATGGTACATATAGGTATGTATATATATATATATATATATATATATATATATATATATATATATATATATATATATATATATATATATATACCCGTTAGCGTAGCATTTTTTCACAATTTTTTTTTTTTTCTTTCATTCGGTGAAAATTGCACTGATAAGTTTTTTTTTTTTTTAAGGAGGAAAAAAATGAAAAAAAAAATGCAAAGAAATTATTAGGTCCCATATTTTCACATCATCACATTGTACGAACAGTTGTGTACAACGCAATGTAAAGCGGGTACGTGATTTTTTTTTTTTTTTTTTTCTTTTACTCTTTCCCGTGACCTTCCCATATAACCATATAAAAAACATAAAAACAAAATAAACTTACATAGGAGAGAGTGTAAGTTTCTGTGGCAAGTTACATATAGGCTTCTCAGCAGGAGCCAAGTACAAAGTATCATTTAAAAAAGATTTTAAAAAAAAGGCATAATAAGGATTTTAAAAAAAAGGCATAATAAGGATTTTAAAAAAAAGGCATAATAAGGATTTTAAAAAAAAGGCATAATAAGGATTTTAAAAAAAAGGCATAATAAGGATTTTAAAAAAAAGGCATAATAAGGATTTTAAAGAAAAGGCATAATAAGGATTTAAAAAAAAAGGCATAATAAGGATTTAAAAAAAAAGGGCATAAAAAGAATTTAAAAAAAAAGGGCATAAAAAGAATTTAAAAAAAAAGGGCATAAAAAGAGCTTAAAAAAGGGCTTATAAAAAAGGCTTAAAAAACAGAAATGTTTTTAATTCGAAGAAGGTACACTTGCTTTTACAACTGTTTGGGCATATCGGGTGGTTGGGCCAGGAGACTTTTAAATGAAGCAACCCATTCTGCACTACACAAGAGGTACTGAACCAGCAGTTTGAGAGGAATTTTACATTCTGTTAATTCGTTGCATTTTTGGAGCTTCTATACTCTTTCCATATTTGTGATGCACTTCTGCCCATTTTCATTGCACGCTCTTGTCTTCATTCCACACCCTTGTTTTCATTTCCCCTCCCTCCCCACACTGTTCCTATTGAAAAAGAGAATTCAGCTCGAAGAACTTCTATGACATCCTTAACATCCCACGAAGGAGTAGCAAAAATGAAATAAAACAAGCCTATCGAAAATTAGCCCTGAAATACCACCCAGACAGGAATCCAAATAACAGAAAAGAATCAGAGAAGAAATTTCGAGAAATAACAGAAGCTTATGAAACTTTAAGTGATGAAAGTAAAAGGCAAATGTATGATAATCAACTGAATGGTGGTGGCTTTTCTTCGAATAATTTTGATAATAACTTCTCAAACATGTCTAGTAATAACAATATGAAGTACACATATCAAACGAGAAGAATGTCAGATGAAGAAATCGAGAAAATTTTCAAGAATGTCTTTGGAAACATGAACCTGAATGACATCTTCAAGTCCAACGTTTTTAATCAAGTACGTGTGTAAGGAGACATATCCACCTTGTGTGTACATCTTCATGCTAAGCCCCCATGTTGTGTCTAAGTATTCCCAAATCGGCACAATAACGTGCACATAAAAATAATAGGGTGATGAGAGAGCGGGGTGAGATGTTCTACCCCTACCCGAACTCAATCTCATGCACGACTTAAGAGCTTTGCATACATATACATATATATACACACATATATACATGTATATACATATATATATTCATATTTTTGGTGCGTGCTTTTCCTGTAGGGAAGTTTCCAGACGAGAGAGAGTGGAAATGATTTCTTCACTAATTTTGGGTCTACCGGTAAATTTTCGATTCATCTACTTTTGTCTCCCCCGTGCAATTAGCCAATTTCACAACCAATAGCATAGCCAAATTGCACATCCAATTAGCACAGCCAAATTTGTGAATCCTTCACTGCCCATATATCGTGCACACCATCGCTTTCCCACTCGCAGGATCTTATCGGAGCAACAGTGATAATATAAAACGTAATGTTTCTATGGAAACATATTTATTGAATTACTTCTAATGAGTTCCATGATGGAACCTATGTCCCATGTTCCCTTTGATGGATTACCACTCAAGTGTTACCACCACGTCTAATTGACGTTGTTAGTGCAGTTGAGTCAGGGATATTATTCTCACTTTTACCACTTTACATTTCTTCAACCTATTTTTTCAGAAACAAACATAAAAACCGAAATAATACCTAGAGGAAATAAAATAATTGAGAAGACAACTAAGATTATTACGTATCAGGATGGGGTTGTCAAACAGGAAATTATCGAAAGGGAGATAAGCAGCAATGGCAAAGGTTCATAAGCGAGAAAATGTAAAAATATGAAAGTGTGAAAAAAATGGCTTGCACGCATGCATGGAATAAAAAAAAAAAAAAAAAAAAAAAAAAAGGCCACCAACCCACGTGATATGTCGTGTTTCGGTTCTTTTTTTTTTTTTTTTTATGTAGTTATTTTATTATTTTATTTATTTATTTTTTTTTTATCGTCATTTTCACCGCTGCATGTACACGTGCATTTTTGGCATTTTTGACATTTTCACATTTTAACATTTTCATATTTTCGCTCCACCCCCACCTTCCACCCTGGAAATCATTTGTCTTTCGTGTATCACTCGTTCGTCAATTTTTATGCACCCTCCCATTCATATGTACAGCGTGCGTGTACACATATCTACATCCTTTTGTATGTACATACCTGCATTGCCATGCATGCACGTGGAGGAGCTCCGATTTGAACTCTCGCGAAGTGATGTTTTTGCTAATAATGCCCAATCCAATTTTTTTTTTTTTACCCTTTGATAGAATTTAAGGACATGCCAGATTATGATTATGATGCTTTCTTTAAAAATTATATACATCATATGAAACCTCACACTAATATGAACGAATCTGTTAGTAATATAAAACATAAAAATGAAAATAAATTATTCAACCATATATTGCGTTACACTTTTGGAATTATTTCCCTTGCGACTAGAAAAATTCTCGTCAATTTGGTCATACAAATGGTTAGAAGGATCATACAAAGTATCATACATATTCTGAGAAAAAGGTGAAAAACGACCCTTTCCCCCGGCCCTCCCCATTTTTCTTGGCTTTTTGAAGTTCATATGAAATGTGTATTTCGAAAAAGCATGAATCATCTTAAAATTTTATCAAGAAAAGTATTTATGTACGTAGTCCATTCTTCTATTGCATTTGGAATTATCGCCACTATTGTGTCCGTACATGATAGGGAAGTGTGCAAAATCGTGAGGAAGTTTCTAGATTCATGTGGATATACAGTGTATGACCTGATTTTTACTTCAACTCTGCATCTACATTTTTAAAGAAGCTCTCTCCCAAAGAAGTTAAATAATTAATCTTGCAAAAATGGGAAATATTTTTTTTTCCAAGCGACAAATTCTCATGCATCCCACCAGAGTTGTTTACCAGAGTTGTTCCACCACCCTTGTTCATATCAATTGACAATCTTTCCATCGAAGGATCCAAGAACTTTTCTAAAAAAGTAGGATGGAAGAAAAAAACGGCGCTTTTTTTTCTCTTCATAAATTATGCCCTTGGTCAGTTTGCTTTTGTCACCGTTCCAGAGGAGCTGCAGAAAAAGGAGGGAAAAAAAAAAAAAAAAAAGATGGAAACTCGTACGTGGAAAGAGCACCGGAAATGGCACCACAAATAGCACCACAAATAGCACCACAAATAGCACCACAAATAGCACCACAAATAGCACCACAAATAGCACCACAAATAGCACCACAAATAGCACCACAAATAGCACCAGAAAGAAATATACGAATGGAGAAGAAGAATGCACATTGGGATGTACGCACGTGGTGCTCGTGTCGGTGCTGTTTTGAGGCCCCATTATAACTTCTCCACTTTATAAGCCAAATTAGATAATCGCACCTCAGCCGTGTAGTAAATACGTCTATTGTCATATTCTATGAACCATGTTAAGTAGTAGTTATTATAAAACCAAGTTCCTTCCATATTGTCGGATGTCTTGACCTTCCCATTGTCATAAATATGTATGAAAAAAGAACTATTTTTCTGCAGGAAAAAATTATAAGTAGTTATCTCCCAGCGACAATTCTTTAACGGGTGGATAGCTATCTTCTCCTCTTTATTTGATTGAGATGATCCATATTTGTTAATTAATTTTTTTATATTTTCTGTCCAATTTTTTATATTTGTGACACAGTAGTAGTTTCCTCTTCTTCTCATTCCTAAAACTCCAGATTTAACATTTTTATCGTTCCCTTTAAAAATATTTTCATAATAATAGCTTCTTCTTGTGATGGGCGCAGATGTCATTGGGTGTTGATACCCCTTCAAGTTCCTTCCTTCCGATATTAGTATTTTTACATTGTACACACTTAACAGAAATGCAGACAAGACAAAGAGCATAGCTTTTAATCTTGTTACACTTTGCATACGCATGGTGCTTGTTAATTTCTCCAGGGAAGAGAGAGGAGGAGGGAGGGGATATTATATGTTCTTCTTGCGTGAGCCACTTGGGTGGAAATATATTCCACTTTTGAAGGAAATAATATTTAAAAAAAAAAAGTACAAATTTTCAAAAAAGTTGCAAATTTTCAAAAGAGCTACAAATTTAATGGGAAACAAGGCACACTGGATCAATCACAAAAAAAGGGTTCGGAAAAAAAAAAAAAAGAAAAAAAAAAAGGGCAAGGCAGGGGCAAAGCAAGGGTAAGGCTAAAAATATCATCTGTTTCATGCCAAACAGATCGAAGTCTCACAAAAGAGAAATATAATTCGTCCTTCTATTTACATGCAGAAGAGAAAAGTGAAAAAAAAAAAAAATTGTAAATGACTTTTTTTTTTTTTTTTTTTTTTTTTTTTTCATATACTTGGAATATTTTTCGTCCCCTTTTTTTTTTTTTTTTTCTTTTTTTTTTTTTTTTTGTAACAGACTAGAATTTTTTTTACCACTTGTATTTCATTTGTTTTTCTTCTTTGCTTCAAACCAGTGGTGGAAAAATAAAATAAAAATAAAACAGAAATGCTGTTACAACTGGATAATATCATCCCCTACTCATTCCCCTGAGTGTGTAAGGGGGTTGGTTCTAACGAAATTCGTAGACGTTGATTGTTTTTCCCTCTTCTACTCTGTACAGTGTGTTTGGGTGTGTGTGTCAAATTTCGTCCAAATCCGTTTCAGACTCGACGCCATAGGTATCAATATACTTATTGTTGTGTAAAATTTCTCCAGATTTTCTCTTCAATTCCTCATCACGCAATTCTTGCATATCTTCCTCACTAAGGCAGGAGAAAATTTTATCAACTTTAAATCCTTCATAATCAAATATTTTTTTTTTTTTTAACGATTTCTTTTCTTTATTTATATCTTTTATTCTTCTTCCATTTTTATCATACATGTGTTTCATTGCATATTGATAATTTTTTTTTCTCTTTATTTCTTTTTGGTTAATTTTGCGTGCCATTAAAACATCTCTATTATAAGAACTTCCCTGTGATGTCAAGGATTCCCAAGTATCCCATCTTGTAATGCTTATTTTTTTCCTTCTCTTACATCTTTCATACTTACTATTCGTGCGCAAAATATTATCTGCATTTGGAAAATATTTCAGAGGGTAGTGTCCATGTCCTTTCTTTTGGATTCCCACTGAGAGGAGGTAGATTTTTTTCTTATTCCATCTATTGCCACACTTATCCCAATCACTTTGCTGATGATATACATTTTTATGTCTTAATTTTGCATGAACGATAAAATTTGTTAAAAAAGAAAAACTCCCTACACTGTTCTTACATGCAGGATTATACGTATAGTAAAGTATCATAATAAATGCAGATATAAGAAATTTTCTTATTAATAACACTTTCCTATGGTTCATTATTTTTCCAGCATTAGAGAATACGAAAAAAAAAAAAAAAGGGGGAGGGTGGGGAGGAACACAAGCAGGTCATCCGGTCATCTCACTCAGTTCAGTTGTGTTCTTAAAGTTTGTAGTAAAAATAGGAAAAAATGTTAAGAAGTGGTGGGAAATATAAGAAAAAAAAAAAAAAAAAAAAAAGGTGCTTCTCACCGGTCCGCTAACTTTTCTCCCCCCCTCCCCTTTATCATCTCACACCTGCAAATGTGGTATGAATAAAATTTCATAAAAAAAAAAAAATAAAAGAACACAGAAAATTAAACTCCTACAAAAATGTGGTAAATTAATTTAGAATAAAATAAACACAACGCTTAAATCGCGATAAAACCAACTTTTCACCTGTCGAACATCTCGTTTTGTCAAAACCCACGTGGTATGTGAAATTTCCTTTTACCCATACAAGAACAAAATTTCAAAAGTTCATTGAGTATATGGTTTTGCGCATGAAAGGGAATTAACACTTTTTAAAAATAAGAAGCAAACACAAAACGTTAGATATGTGTATACACGTATGTGTTTAATTTTTATTTTTTAATTTTTAATTTTTAATTTTTATTTTTTATTTTTTACTTTTTAATTTTTATTTTTTACTTTTTAATTTTTATTTTTTACTTTTTACACAAAATTTGCTCCATACCTAAGCTGATGAAAAAGTGGAAATACACGTTTGTGTTGTTACTTGCATACGCTAACCCTTGAGCGGCGTCGTGTCACAAATTCGATTGTGTTGTATCAATTGTATATGTTGAAATAAAAGAAAATAAAAAAAAAAAAAAAAAAAATTCTTCAACTGATTGTCGAAAAAAGAAAGACGACCCCCCTTACTCCGTTGTAAAGCATTTGAGCACACAAAACGGGAACATTTTTTTTCCTTCACTTTTTTCATTTCTTTTGTTTCTTCCCCCTCTCTTGCCTTCTTTTTCTTCTAATCCTAAAATGCATCGAAGGAAAAGTGCGTTGCGTTTTCTGTTCCTTTCACTTTATGATCTGCCAAATTTGGAGAAGCTTCGTAAACCTGTAGCATAGGAGAGGGGGGGCGGGGGAACAATGTCATAATGTGAGTGTCTTTGGTGTGTTGATAAAAAAAAAAAAAAAAAAAAAAAAAGCCACTCCGGGTGAAGCGAGTGCAACAAACCAGGCCAAGCCAAGCCAAACCAAACCAAACCAAACCAAACCAAACCAACAGAATATTGTTCCTCTCTTCACTTGCAAAATGCACTCTAACACTTTATTTTTGCTACATGCATAGGGAAAAATACTAACCGTCTCAACTGCCTTCCTGGTGTAGTTTGTCCCTATACCCTTTAGACCTTTCAAAGAAAAAAAAAAAAAAAAAAAAAAAAAAAAAAAAAAAAGGTGATTAAATAATGTAAATATTGAAATAAGAAATATAAAACTGAAATGTGCAAAAAAAAAAAAAAAAAAAAAAATAGGACACACAAAAACAGTCACATTTTTTTTTTTTTTTTTCATCTTCACATTAGTTACCTATGTAAAATATTTTTGTCGTTTCAGCTCCATAATTTTCATAAAAGTAAAGGGTCAGGTAACTCACATTAAAAAGGGATGTTACCTGCACAAGGGGGGTGATGGGAGTGTGATATCTAAATGTTCATCCAAAATAAGGTAACAAAAAATGTAGCAAAATCAAGGTAACAAAAAATGTAGCAAAATCAAGGTAACAAAAAATATACAAAATAAGATAGTCTAGTAAAGAAGCACCTTTAGGGGGTATTCAACCGATCCATGATAATCCTCTGAGAGCTCTAATTCTTGCACACACTTAAAATCGTTAACGCTGAGAGAAACAGTAGGAAGAGAAGAAGACATGAAATCACAAAGTATATTACATGTTATTATATTCTGCTATGTTTTTACATACACATTCATATGTATACATGCAATATGACAACACACAAAGGTTTTATGAAAGGACTTTTTTTTTTCTTTTTTTTTTTTTCTGTCCTCTATAATAATGTTACTTTTCAAAATCTATATCTTCTCTGTTTGAAAAAATTTTCAATTTCCTGGGATAACTACCATCCTCACCTCCAATAAGAAAAAGACTTACAATCTATCAAACGTGAATCATGGAACGAGGGAAAAATATTAAACATGTTTTTTTTTTTTTTTTTTTTTTTTTTTTTTTTTTTTTTTTTGCTTCAGTTGGATACTATATGTCGATTCCCCAAAGGTAGGTGGAGGGGGTCAGAAGAACGTTTACACATCGTTTGATCATGTTATGATATCTCAAGAAACAGTTTTGTTCCAGTGTTCTTATTTCTCAGTTGATCTTTACCTTGCACTGGCTAGTGAAAGGGATGTTTATTATCTGGTGAGACGGGTGTAAGTGGTTGGTAAGTAAGAAAATAAAATGTTCATACATACGTACGTGTATTAGTGCAATGTATGTGTAGTGGAGTACTGTTTACACATGCCTATGTATGCTTAAGGACGTGAAGGAGAACAATCCACTCGGACACATTTGCACTGAGCTGTGCAAAACATGAACTCATTCGTACTATATTGTTACTCATTTGGGACACTTACCAACTCACTGTCTGCGTCACTTTCGCAGTTTTCTGGAGATAATCTGCTATCATATGGTTTTAATATTTTCCTGCATGATCCAAGTACCTTTATTCGGGCGAACAGGGGGCAATAATAAAAAAAAAAAAGAAAAAAAAAAAAATCAATCCAAATCGTGTATACCCAAATAGAACAAATATAATGTGCTGCAGATGGAGGGGTGTATGATCTGAAAAATTGAATTCTCCATCCACTCAAAAAAAAAAAAAAAAAAAAAAAAAAAAAAATCACAGCTCGATGCAGTTATTACCTTTTCGTTCAACGCAGTAACTTTTTCTATATCCATATATTTCAACAAAAATTCTCCTCCTCTTAATACTTCGTCGGCTTCTTTACACCCACATCCATCATGATGTGAAATTGTCATTGTGATGTATTTGCACTTAATAAAATAGTTTATCAAGTACCCACCCACACAAGTTTTTTTTTTTTTTTTTTCACTTTTTTCCTACAATATAAAGGACTATTCCTTCCCCCTTCACAATTTCTATACAACATAAATGGGATAAAAGAATAACACTGATAGTCTTATTTTTTATTCATTAATTTAACAAGTAATCGAAGTTTATGCAGTATCCCCTCCGTTCTACAATGATAGTTGTGTTTTTTAAAAAAAAAAAAAAAAAAAAAAAAAAAAAAAGAATTGCCCATATAAAACTTGCAAAATAGCATACAAAAAAGTTCACGGAAAAAATAAAATAAAAAGGGCCAAAATACGCGTAACATAAATCTCCGTAGTTCTTTTTTTTTTTTTTTTTTTTTTTCCCTTTTCGAAAAAAAATATTTAAAAATTAAGCACAAATATGTATGAGTATTAATTCATACATATATGCGTTAAAGAATTAATCATGGGTGAAAAATAGGGAACATTCATCGTCATTGGAAGGAACACATCAAAAGGGGCAAAAATAAAAAAAAAAAATGCATACATACAGATACATTTATACATACACATACATATACATATACACATACACATACATATACACATACATATACACATACACATACATATACACATACACATACACATACAAGTACTATATACAGACGAAAACAAATCCCTTTGATCACCTTGGCAGTATCATTAAAGCGCTTTTAAAAACTGTTCATAGTATTTTCCTCCGTGTGCAGGAATGCACAATAAACTATGTTTCTCTCACCCGTACAGACGCTCATATGACATACATTTAGATGAAATGGATCGCTTGGCTGGAAACACTTACATCGCTAGAAAACAATCTCAATGATCTACATGGTAATACGCATTTTTCCATTATGTGTACACACACCCATACTACATACGCACAATCATACACACTCACAACCATACACAATCACGCACAGCCATGCACTTTTTGTTGGATCCTTTTTTTTTTTCTTTTCAAATCATAAATGGAATTTTTTTCCGGTTTCCATGGATGAAACTCATAACGGATTTGTCCTCCAATGATCGACACCATGAATAGAGATGGTTTCTTTTATTAAAAACATGATTTGTCACCTCGTCCCCTTCTTCTGCATTTGTGCAGGTGGTTTTGTGTTTGCAAGCATCGCTATTATTTTCATTATTTTTTAAAAGCATAACTAAATATAAATCAGACAGGTGAAGCATGTTAAGGTGCCGTAAACATGCCAGTCTCAAATTTAAACAAGAGTAATTATCTTTTTCTGCAACATCTTTTTCTGCTACATCATTTTCTGCAACATCGTTGTCTACCCCGAAACTTGCGCTTGCATATAAATTCATCAAACCAACTTTACTCGCATCTGATAAACACTCATGAAATAATTCCAAGTGATAAAATATCCTAGCTCTCCACACTAAAAACTGTTGCAAAAAATGGTATATCCGATTTTGTAAGCAATATTTTATACACACATTCAATTTTTTTAAAATATCGTTAAATGGTTCGTCAATATTTTTCTTGTTCATATAATCATTTTCTTCCACATGTTTTACCCTGGAAATTGTTTCCTCTTCGCTTAATATAAAAGATAAATATCTTTTTTCAAAATTCTTCAGCGTACTAAAATCAATTTTATGCTTACAACAACTTTTATTAATCTTTTTCTTTCCATAAATATGTTCATATTGTTTTCGCATAAAATGCTTTTTTTCCTGACCATCCTTCTCCTCACTCCCCTCTACTTCTAAACCCATATCATGAGTTACTTCCACCTCATTTATAATTTTATTAGTCATTATATCTTGAGCGGTGTTGTCGTTGTCTGTCGGTTGCACCATAGAGCCGCTTAACCCACTTAACCCGCTTAACCCGCTTAACCCGTTTAACCCTATCGGACTGATCATGTTTCCCTTATGGCTCAAAGGGGAGTTCCCCTTTTTGCCTGAACAGGTCAGGCGGAAACAAGCAGCCCTGGTCAAGAACAAGGTGGCTGAAAAAAAAAAATAATTTTCCTTCAAATAACTTCTTATCCTCCTGAGCTGCAACAGTTTTAACATAAGATTGGCGTAATAAAAAACGTTTTGTATAAATCCCATTTTATAATTCGTTGAATACAGAACGTGAATATTTTCTAAAAAAATTATGAACAAAGTTTTGTCACATAAGAACGGTATAGTATCCCATCTCTTCACTGCATATTTTATTAATCTCCTTTGGAAGTTATCAATAAATTCTTTTTTATATGCATAAAAAAGAAATCCTTTTATATTTACGTTTTGGCATGGTATTTCTTTTTTTTTCTGATGACTTACAACTTTTTGATCTTTAAAAAATAATTTTCGCAAAATTTTCATCAAAATTAAGTGTAGTAAGTGGCTATAGAAAAGACAGTTCCTTTTGGCCTCCCATGACAAGTGTCCCAGATTCTCCACATATCTCATTTTCTCCCAATTTTTGTTAAAATAAAAATGAACTAAATTAAACAAACTTCCAACATTGTGAGGGTTCAAATACAGGGAATATTTCACGAGACTCAGAAATTTTTTATTCAACTCCTCATTCTTGTACATTGCATTGATTACACTTTTAAGTAAGGAACAACTCTCCTTTTGCAAAATTATTGATTTTGTGTATCTACTTCGAATTTTGCTGTCCCATGAAGTAAAATCACTTGAACCGATTATATCTTCTCTCCGACATAAGTATGAATTTGTTACCTTATCATAACCTATCAGTAATCCCTTTATCCTTTTTCTTACTCTCCCAAAGCCGTTCGTTCCTTTCATCGTCCCGTTAATAATTCTATTCTTCCCATTCATCATTTTTTCCCATAAAAGATTAACACATTTACCTATTTTCTCTTCCCCCCCTTTTTAAAGCTGTACACAAACTTCATCTTCGGGCATGCTTATTCCCATACATTTCCTTTTGTACATTCAAAATAATTGAACAATCTAATCTGTCGATGTGTATGGGTTAATAAACACAATAGTTGGATTTCTCCTCTTAAGTATATATATACATATATATATATATATATATATATATATATATATATATATATATATATATATATATATATAAACCCTTATTCTTTTCTCTTACCCTAAAGTATGCTGCACAGTTAGCCCTTTTTCAGGGATAACAATTATGTAATGCTAGTATATGCGAGCATACAACGGAATATACTAGAAAGAGAATCCACCAAATAGGAATTCTCTTAATACATTTGTTACAGACGTGAAAACAAGAGCAAATCAAATAAATTCAAATTAAATGAAATAAAAAATTAGTTACAAAAAAAAAAAAAAAAAAAAAATACACAAAATTATGAACAAATCAGGTGAAAATTTTGCTAAAAAAAAAAAAAAAAATACACAAAATTATGAACAATCAGGTGAAAATTTTGCTAAAAAAAAAAAAAAAATACTCAAAATTGGGGAACAATCCATGTGAAATTTTTGTTAAAAAAATAAAAACTATTTCGCCAATCTAATCCCATTAATGAATTTGCTTTTCAAATAATTGTCCCCCTGTGTAGATAAAGTTTCGATGTTGGTGAATTTGTTTTGGTGAAATTTTCGTCTGGCTAGCTGTGCATACTTTTGTGTGTTTTTTTTTTTTTTTTTTTTTTTTTTTTTTTTTTTTTTAAATTTTCACCTCATTTGTTCATAATTTTGTATCATGTATAAAATAATATGTGCACCTATACTTGAGCTATATTAACTTAGAATTTTTTTTTAATTAACTTATATTACTTCAGCGTTGCGGCTAGGGGGTTTACGGCGCTGTAATTATCCACTCTATCCAATAACAGAATTTTAAAAAGAAAAACTTCCGCATACTGGCTATGTATTTTCATTCCCAAAATACAGTGATGTACCTGCTCCACCACGTCAGCTAATTCGTGCTTGCAGATTATTCCACGGAAATTGTTTTTTTGCCTGACATGCTCAGCAATTTTTAAAATAATAAGGTAAAAGTGCAACAAATTAATGTTGTTCAATAGATGAAAAGGTATCATTAACGAAATACTATTATCATCCACGGTCCTACTCGAGCGAACAAATTTTGTATCTTTCACATTACTCAAGTCGCATATATGAAGTAATATTATAGTAACAGCTTCGTATAAGCATCTGAAAGATTTACCAAAAAGAGCGTCATTTGAAAGTTTCTCTAAATTATTTTCGGATAGAAGAAAACCATTGTCCTTATGTCTGGAATGGAAAATAACTACCCCTTCATTGATAAGCAGTTTATACACTCTCTTAAGTAAAAATTGTAGAAACAACATATCTTGCTCCTTCGGTATATGCTCACCGATCATGCAGCACACGCATATGTAGTGTATAGCTTGACACATGGACGAGAATGATGCTAAGCAACTAGTGTGAAGGATACATTTTTTAATCATCAGATTGAATAAGTCCTTGTCATAAAGTTCCAGATTTATAGAATTTTTCATAAAGATGATTGAGTTCTTGATTTCCCTAAGGCCTTCCTTATTCATATTTGACCTCTCAACCTTCGCAGAGTTCACCACGTGAGGGGTACTCGCTACACTCAACACATTGGACGCTTCTACATCACACAGCAGAAGCTTAACCCGATGAACCAACTTGTCTAGAAGCATGTCATAATCATCTATACCCTGAATGGATGATATGGCTTCCCTCGAATAATTCTCCTTATTTAAACTCTCCACAAGAACGCCAATTTGCCCCATCGTCATTTGGCTAATAAATGGACACACATGTGGCAGTAACATTTTCAAAATATGTTCAAAATAAAAATCTATCTTCTCATCTATTTTTGCACATTTAGTGAAAGAGGGAAATATCCTCCCACACCCATTTAAAAAATTTATTAACAGTTTTTTTTTTGTATACAAATCGGTACTATCCAAAACTTTTCTCGCTAAAGAATTCACAAATTGGTAGTACCCTCTCCAAAATTGTTTGCTTTCTTCAAATTGTAGGTTTCCACAAATCTTTGACACGGAAATTAGCAAACTTATGCAATTTTCAGTTGATAAGGCATATTCATAACTCTTATACTTACTCATCATGAGATTTGTTATTTTCGAGTGCGGCATATTTTTTATCTTAGCAAAGAGGCTCATCAGCTGGCTGATCTGATCTCCCTTTTTGTACACTCCTGTGACTTCTTCCTGTATTTCTGTAAATTCATTTTTTTTTATTTCTTCTTCCAGATGTTTCATTTCTTTCTGAACATTCGGTGCAGGGTCTTTCCCCCTACCGGATTTTCCACCAGACTCTCCATCCAAGTCAATCTCCCTCGTGTGTTCATCACACATGCTATTAATACCGACACTACAACTACTGCTAGGAGTGCCGGTTCTACTACCAACAGCACTTAATGGTTCAAAAAAATTTGTCATAATTTTCTTAAAATTTAAAAAAAGGATATCAGAAATTTCGTGCCTCTGTTTTTGCTCCTGCACAGAGGAGTAAGCTGACAAGGTAAGGCCAAAATATATTGCTGACTTGAATTGTCCAATTTGTAGAATTTTATTTAAGCACGAATTTTCAAAGACATCATCTTTTATGTTCATATTTTTAAATCCTTTAAATAGATAAGAAAAGGATTTCTCTCCAAAGGATGAATATATTCTCAAGCTTCTTAACTTAATCATGTTATAAAGATTCCTATCTAGAATGTTATACTTAGAATAACAATAAAGAATGATTGATAACTCAACATGGTTATAAGAATTAATAAACTTTTTTAAATTACAAGTTATTTTCTCAAAATAATTATAATACAACATATCATTGGAAGGGAAAAATAATAAATTCGAAAAAAAACAATTGTCATGATCTTTATCTTTTTTTTTTCTCCATATCAAATCCTGGTTTGAATTTAAACATAAACAAAGCAAAACAAGATCTTTTCCTTTACACTTATCTAGTTTTTTGTATATTTTTCTAAACATGTCAACACATGTTTTACTTATTCGAAGTAAAGTCTCACCACTCCTCTGTGTAACTTTTTCTTCTTTCCTATGTAAAACGGTGAAAAGAGAGATATTAACAAGTCTCACCCATACATGTACGAAACAATTTAAATGTTTTTTTTTTTCTTTTTCCTGAATTATTGAACATTGTAAAAGTTCATCTAAAAGAGACAAATTCAAAATGGAAACGTTTCTATACGCACTTAATATGTTAACCAACTGGATTATGTTAAAGTCATTTTTTACCTTCACTATATGATTTTCGAATTGGGAAAAAAAATAGTAGTATTCCTTCAGATTCAGTTTTGAAATATTATACAGAAGTAAACTAAGTCCTATTAAGCTGTACTCAGACACTTTTCTGTGTTGAATCTTTTGGATCATACAAATGATGAATTGAATCTCAGAGTCACTGTACAGTTCTGCACGGTTAGCACCTTCTACCTTTCCATTGAACAATTTGACTAAGCTATTTATCAACAAACATATATAATGAGGAGAGTGTTTTTCAAAATAGGAATCTCTCTCGTTCATCAACTTCTTTCGTATTTCATCCAAAAAATAAGCACTCTTGAAATTCATCTTGTCTAACGAGTTTATCAACGCACATATGTGCACAAGGTCAAACTGATCCAACCGAAGAATACACCGATTCAGTACTTCACTAATAAGACGATCATTTTTATAATCTGTTTGGGAAATGAAAGTAAAAAAGTTTGTAATAATTCGTGGACTAATATTTTTTTCATTTATCCTAATCATTATTTCTCTACAATATGTATTCCACAAAGATAGATCATTTTTTTTTTTTTTAAAACTTTTTTTAATTAACTCAAAAAATTCATCATTACTATTTGGGAACCTTTGCTGTTCCCTGAAATTGTTGTGTGGTTTTTTCCATTTTGTTAAATTCTTTTCTACAATTGAGATATTCTGAAATCGTGAAATTGTGCTTTCAGGGCTGTATTCAAAATTGGTGGCACCAGCAAACCTTCTTTTTAGAAAATTCACTTCACATGGAAGAACTACACTAAGGGGAATTTTCTCCCCAATAGATTTCTTCATATTTTACCTTTTCACCGGAATCCCAGGGAAGCCACATAATTTAACAACCTTACGTTGGTTCAGAAGATTACCCTGTTTGAGAAGTTTACAAGATATATTCAACTTGTGTTTCCACTCTGGAGTGTAAGGTGGCATTCCCAGAGGTGTTACTTTATAGATTTTACACCGTTTGAAAAAATTTGTCTTTGCATAGCTGCACCTTTGCTTAGCTACGCCTCTTACCAGATAAACTGCTAACCAGGTGAACCTCATTGATCATTTCTTTTGGAACTCCATACGTGGATAGTTGCATTTTTCACATGGGGCGAAGTACTTTTTTACATGGTTCCGACAGAGCCAACGCAACATTCTAATTCACTATGAGGGGAGAAAGAAATATGTATGCACTCGTACAGGCTAAAAACGAAGCAACATTTAATGAAGATAAAACCTTATTCGAATTTTCATCTTTGCGCATCTATATTTGTGGAGTGTTTGGGGGGGTTGGTTCATCAAAATGGGTAGAAAAGTATAAAAGTAGCGAAAATAATAAAAAAAAAAAAAAAAAAAAAAATTACAACCCTTCTGGATATAATGGTTTCTAAAGCATAACAACTTTTTATCTCTATAACAATAATTGTTCATGCACATGTGAGAATGTTCCTTCAAGGGTACATTTTAATTTTGAACTTTTTTTTTTTTTTTTTTTTTTTTTTCTTCTCCTCTATGTATTGTACGTACTGAAAAATTCAGAAAAGCGCCTAACGTCTCCCCTTTCGCTCTTCCCTTTCAACATTTCTTTACACATTTATGTATTCCCATTTTGGGGGGATGGAAGAGTAAAATTAATTTCGTTTTGAAACGACAATATCCAACTTTGTACAACTGTTTTAACTGCTAAACAAGGGTGATGTGACAGTATAGTGAAAAGAGAAAAATAAATTTATCATTTGGGAAGTCTGAAGAATCATCATCAAATTTTTTGGTAAAACCGTTGCAAAAAACCATGAGCATGGGGTTGGGTAATTTACAAAGACGAGGGAACGTCGCATGCTCAAAAAATGTAAATGTAGAAAGTGTGTAGACCCCGAAAAGTAGATGTTGTAAAAAGGGGAAAAATATCCAAAATGGAGATGAAAATAAACTAAATATATAAAAAAGAGCTAATACGGGAAGTAAAGCTTAAATAACTCAAAAAATTGTGGACAAACGTAATCTGAATAAAAAATGTAAATGCTCAATTTTTCAAACACACAAAAATGTGAGATGTAAAATAGGGGTAAACTCGTAAAAGCAGCTGGAAAAAATAAAAAAAAAAATAAAAATATATATATATATATATATATATATATTTATACACCATTACACAAATGTACATTTTTCTGAACAAGTCATTTTTTTTTTTTTTTTTTTTTTTTATTCTGGATCAAAAAGTTTTGGTGTCCTGTGCATGTGTGCACGTGATAGTTTGCGTATATAAGAAAGAGAGAAAAAAAAAAAAAAAAAAAAAAAAAAAAATGACTTTTTCAAAAAAAAGAAAAAAATATATATTTATCTAAAAAAAAAAAAAAAAATAANNNATTGTACTTGAGCACACATATCATACATGTAGAAGCAAAGCGTTTGAACAATCATTGTACACATTATACACAATTGGACATGATTCAGCAAATATTTAAACTTTATTTTAACACGCCCTCGAATTAGCCAAAAACGGGTATAAAAAAAAAAAAAAAAAAAAAAAAAAAAAAAAAACCTTGCCGGGTCAGTTAAAAACAAACAATTAACCACTTAACATTAATTAAAAAAGTGAAAAAAAAAAAGCTTTTTCCATTGATTGCTAAAAATATATATATATACTCACATGTCAGAATATTTTTTTCCATTTTAGACACCTGTTTACTTATCTATTAATTATTCATTATATTACTTCGTTTAACCTATTCATCTGTTTATTTAGCTATTTACTCTCCTATTTATTCACCTACCTATCCGTCTACCTGCTTACCCCTTTTCCCCAATTTGGAAAAGAGCTTTCCGAAGTTGCTAATAACCCCTGGTAGACAACACAAGACAGGGAAGCTGAAAAGTTCACTTCTTGCTAATTCGAAAGTGTTTGTAAATAAACATTCACAATAAGTCTCGTTCATGCGATAATTATATTACACAAGTGTATGTGTAAAGTAGGTTTACGTGTACATATGCGTATATACCTATAGTGTGTGAAAAGTTCCAATCATTTATTATCATCCGATTTCATTAACCCACCGAATTAAAAAAAAGCAATTAGCAATGAGCAATTAGCAATGAGCAATGAGCAATGAGCAATGAGCAACTAGCAACTAGCAACTAGCAACTAGCAACTAGCAATTACCAATTAGTAATAATTGCACGTAACACCTTATCCAATTTAGTGGACACACATGCAAATATACACACAACACACAGTGTATGTTTTTTTTTTTTTTTTCTTCTTCTTTGAAGTATATCCCTGTGATCAACCATCACCCATTACACACACACAGAGAGAGAGACGTCCGTGTAAAACATAGCCATTGCTGTCGTTTCACATTTTCCCACAATTTATATATTGTGACATTTTTATGAAAATTAATTCATTTTTCCCCCCTTCACCATTTTTTCAACTTGTTCCACTTCTTATCAACTTTATTTTTCGTATTTTCATATCATTAATTTTAAAGAGGGAAGAAATCTTTGTACAAGTTAATTTGTAACACATTTCCTGGAAAAGGTCTTCTTTTCGTCTTTTCATTTGTACATAGTTTAATTAGTACACCGGTTCATTGATACACCGGGTCATTGATACACCGGGTCATTGATACACCGGGTCATTGATACACCGAGTCATTGATATACCAGTTCATTTGCTGCACAGATTCATTTCCACACCGGTTCATTTGCTACACCGATTTATTTTCTGCACCAATTCATTGCTACATCTGCTCATTGCTTCTTTTCTTTTCATTTTTCCGTAATAGCTACGGTTGGCAATCTAACTTACCAACCGGTGTATTACTTTTAGAAAATACCCCAGAGGCACTTCCCTCTCAAGCATATGTATATATGAGCGTATACAAAAAGCCACTTTTAAAAAACCATCATCCTCTACACCACATTTTACAAAGATGAAGTTACTAAAGTTTTCCTTCATGCAATATGATGGGCTGGTGACCCATGTTGTTGTGTGTGCTTCACTTATCGCTTTATTTTTTTTAAATGAAAATTTCATAAGAAAAAAAAATGATTTTTTCTCCATGGATGTGTCAAGCAAAAAAGTGTGTGATTTTTTGCACAAAAATATTTACAAATTAGAGAAATTGTACATATGTAGTGATTCATTTACTCATAACAAATTTTTTCATAATGATTGGAAAAGTTTGAGAGAGAGTCATATGGTGCCAGGAAATTTTGAAAAGATGGGGAACACACTGGAAAGAGGAAAATTACAAAGTGTGGAAAGGAACCTGGACAAGAGGCAAGGCGATCGGGATGGCATAAGGCAAAGGAATGACGTAAGACAAATGAATGGGGTTGACAATAAAAAAGAAACGCCCGAAAAAGATTATGATAATAGTGCTAGAGGTGAGAGTGACAACCACAGAGACAACACGTTTAACTTCACCCTAGACACCAACAACTCAGCATTGAATGAACATATACTTAAAAAATCCAAGATGGTATTTCAAAAACTGGACAGTAATAAGAACAATTTTATAGATTTTAATGAATTCAAAAGGAATGTAAATATATTATCTAAAATTAGGAATATCAACAAAAAAATTTTAAATTATTTATTTGAACTCTTTGATGTGAATAATGACAAAAAAATTAATTATATCGAATTTTTACACTTAAATTCATACGATTTTAATTACATCAAATTAATTCAGATTTTATTTGATGGAGAAAGTGTGGTTGAAAAAAGTGCTATTCATGATTATTTAGAAATTTATTTTTCAGAATTTTTAGACAGCATTGTAGTTGATATGCAGAATAAGCATTTCTCCATTCAAAGGAATAATTTCATTCATACTATAGTAAAAAATTTTTTTAAAAATACAAAAAACATGTGGGATTTAAATAATGATAATAAACTACAACTTGAAGAATTTCAAAATTTCCAATTATTACTACTAGTTGAAATCGATCATTTATTGAATTTTATGCATCTAGACTTGAATTTCGATGGGCACATTGACATATCAGAATTGCTCTTTTATATTAATCATGATGGAACAGTATATAAAAAATTGAGCATTTATCTGGAAAGTACATCAAAAGGATCAAGAAATTCTCATGACAAAAAAGATGAACAGCATATCAACATGTCAGATGCATCACAGCGGGAAAATCTCTTCAACTATGTCCAAGAGACACTCAAGGTTGAAAATTCGCTCGTCCAAAACGTAAAGTTACTTTTCTACTCATTCGACGTCAACAATGATCTATTATTAGATTTGGAGGAATACAAAAATCAGATGACAACACTCTCGGTGCTGGACTTAACCCCTGAAATTATTTTCTCATCCTAAGTGCGCGCATATATCAGTGTGTATGTAGTTGTCCATGCAGTTGTCCATGCAGTTGTCCATGCAGTTGTCCATGCAGTTTCACATGTAGTCTCACATGTGGTCTCACATGTGGTCGTATATATACAAAAAAAATATCCTCCTCTGTTCCTCTTCTTTTTTGCACCCCCCCCATTTTTAGTATGTTTTTATAGACCCACAAGCATCATTGCGCATCACAGCAGCGCCCTGCTTTTCCGTCCAATATGTTTTAATTTTTTATTTGTTTAATATTTATTTTTTTCACTTTTTTTTTTCATCATTTTTTTCAACATTTTTTGCAACATTTTTTATTATTACTATTTTTTTTTCTGTTTTTTGATTTTATCAATGACCTCCCGTACACACGCATACACAACAGCCTCCTCTCTCATTAGAATAAATCTTTATAAAACATCATTTAATTTTCTGAATTACAAATAGCAAAAGTGCAAAATTGTCATACCCATGTTTTTGCTTCTTCCAGCTTTTCCACTATGTGGCATATAATTTCAGGAAAGAAGAAAATGAAAATTTACAAATTTTTTTTATTTATTTATTTTTTCTTTTCTTTGAATGTGTATAATACTTAGAATATATTCGTAATACAGAGAATTTTTTATCGGTTATCATATTTTTTTTAAGAATATTTTAACGTTCATTGTTTATTCAGAATGATGTCGTAGGAGCCCTGTTCTCAAAAGAATCCACATACATAACCACACCATGGGGTTACGCATCCCTCTCACTAGAACATTGAATTCTTTGGAATAAGGAATGACTTCCCTTTCTTTTCACTTACCCCTTGAGTAAATGTGTCACATATAATCTATCTACACATGTACAAAGCATAATAATTTCACAATTTAAATCAGTACAAAACGGTAGTTTATGTAGTAGGACCGTTACCATATTATGCATGCACTATATTTACTTCAGCAAAGGGATAGAAAATTTCATAAACGTATCAACTGAAATTTTTCTCTTTTTTTTTTTAATTTTCCCAAAGGGGGCATAAATTGTATATGCATATGGATGTACACACATATGTATGCATTCATGTATGTACGTACGTATGCATTCATGTATGTACGTACGTATGCATTCATGTATGTACGTATGTATGCATTCATGTATGTACGTATGTATGTATTCATATATGTACACATATGTAATCATTTTTCATTTATAAAAATAAAACGAGGACGGAAGGTCAAAACCATTCAAGCTTTCTGCCCGTGGAAAAAAAAAAAAAAAAAATAGAGTAACTGCATTAGCTTGACGTGGGAGAATATCATAGATATGTGAATGTATTCTTTGTGCTTATCTGTAAAAATAATATTAAGTGCCAAACAGTACATAATGTCTTATGCTTGAGCAAAGGTGACAAAAGGAGGATGGAAATTTTATATGTATACAGAAGAGGACATGTCTATGTAATCTAGAGTGGTTGCATGTGATAAGCTTTACCCCTTCCTTCATTGTAGTGTATTAAAAAGGGCGCGTTCACATAAAAAAAAATATATATAATATATATATGTATACTATACATTAGGAGGGAACTCGAGGAAAAAAAAAATTGACAAGTCTAGATTTTTTTAGTTTACATAACAAATAAAAATGTGAACCTTCTCCTCCTCGTCCCCACCTCAACCCTCCATGTTCGCTCATGTTTGGAAAGGTTTTAAAAATTATCAGCCCCTTATTCGCACAAGCAAAATGAAACTTAATTTCGTTAAATAAGTGTAAAGCATTTCATATCCATATGGTGACAATCTCTTCTTTTCTTTCACGTTTGCCCATTTTTCTTTTTTTTTTTTTTTTTTTTTTTTTTTTGGCCATTCTTATACTCTTTATTATGTGTATACGTGAAAAATAAAACACATTTTTTATCAACTCTCAATGCTTATGTGTTATGTTTGTGGTGAATGAAAACTTTAATACGTACAAAAAGGTTTAAGGAAAGATATAGCACTTCGTGCCTACGCATGTTTAGCTATGTTTCTCACGTACTCATAACACAAAGATGAAATGGGGAGCAAAACAATGGGGCGCATATAATATATCATTTTTTTATACTAAGTAAGTAACAAATGCTTGAGTGCATAACTTCAAAAAAAAAAAAAAAAAAAACTCCCTCGCCCCAACCCAATTTTTCCTTTTACACGCATGTACATATATACAATACATACGTGCATTTATTCATACATATACGTACATATACGTACATATACGTACATATACATAAATATACATAATATATATACATTCATATATATATGTATAACTTTATGCGTCACTTTTTCCCCTTTGCTGTAGGAATTTTAACTTTTGTGCCTCTTTTTTTTTTTTTTTTTTCAGAAGCTCTATTAACGGTTTTTTCCCCCTTGGTGCTCCAGGCCACTGTACATGTATATATATGTTGCATATATTTATATGCATTCCATATATTTATATGCATTCCATATATTTATATTCATTCCATATATTTATTTACATTGCACATGTTTATGCATAGCGCTTATTTATACATTGTGCATATTGATACATATACTTAACATGCCCTTTCTGTAACTCCAAACAATACGTACATTTTTACGCATACTACAATGTATGTAATGTTTTATTATTTTACATAAACATACATTTGAGGCACGTAGAAAAAATATGTATGTCATGTAATATGTAATTTTAGGCCCTTTTTTTTTTTTTTTTTTTTTTTTTTTTTTTTTTAAATTTTATATATTATAAGCCATTAGCAATGATAAGATATGAATTATGGGATTCTTAATTAACGATGACAAAAAAAATAACATAATTAAAAGCACAGAAGAAATAAATATTGATAATACAGCAAGTCATATTTATTTGGATGAATTTAATAATGAGAAAAAAATTCACCTGCACAGTTCAGGTGAAAATGAAATTATTTTGAATGATGATTGGGAGGAAGGAAAAGTTAGAGCGCGAGGAGTAGAAAATTCGGAGGGAGGGGCAGAAAATTCGGAGGGAGGGGCAGAAATTGCGGAGGAGGGGACAGAAATTGCGGAGGAGGGGACAGAAATTGCGGAGGGAGTGGCAAAAAATTTGGAGGGAGTAGAAGAAATTTCCAAGGGGGGAGTAGAAAACCGCATTCCGCTTAACAGTGACAATATAAATGAATATAATAACACATGGATTGCTAATTCGAGTGCTGATCATGTAACGAGTTGTTCTGTTGAGGTAGAAAAAGGAGCAGATATAGTTACCACAAGTAGTGAAGTTGCTGAGTACAGCCATGCAGGAACAAATGCGAACATTCGTGAGGAATCCCAAAGTGATATTTCTATAAATAGGATGGAAAGAGATGATGTGGCAGGATCCTTTTGTGTTACCATGGAAGGAAAGGAAATATCATCTCTTCGATATTCACCTCATTATGATCCACGTCATTCATCAACTTTTGTTCATATCCAGCCATTAGTAAATGGAAATGGGTATAATAATAATTCTCTAGCAAATAAAGGGAATGTACAATTAAATGAGAAAGGGATAACAAGTGAACATGATATAAGTATAAATTGTAATGCGGGACTTACCCATGAAGGTGCACTAAAGAATGACCACTCCTGGCCTATTATAAATGACCACATCGGTGACAAAAACTGCACCGATAGGAATAGTCATACGGATAATAGCAGTAATGGAGGCAATCGGATCAATGGAGGCAATAAAGAAGCCCACCAAAGTGCAGAAAATGAAAATACTATTGGATATTATGATGAAAGTAGAATGTTTAGCAAAACAATTGCACATCAGCAGAGTAAGCTTTTGGACCTTTCCGTGTTAAATAAACAGAAGGATCATACTGTTCTTCATTCATATCCAGAAGAAAAGAAAATGAGAAAAAGTAGCACGGCTGATAAAGTACAAGAATCGTTATTAACTGCAGATATTATGTGTACATCGTGCGAATCTGAGGGAAAAATAACCATGTCGCCTACTAATTTCAATCCTTTTCCTTCTAATGGAGGGAAAGGGAAAAAAGTATTTCAAAATGTTGCAAAATCATATGGCACTAATGTGGAAAGAGGTATTATTGCAAGGGGAGGAGGGGAGGGGAAGGAGGAGGAGGATGAGATGGTGAATGAAATTCCCAAAAAAAAACACGATTGCAACTTAGACAATGAACATGAGGAAAGTTATTCCAGTTCAGACGAAGGTGATGAGTCAAATCGCGTCATAAAGAAAAAAATAAAAAAAAAAATCGATGAAAACGATCATTTATTTTGTGCTATTAATGAATTCATGCGAAAAGGGTTAAAAAATGAATGCATTCCCTTGTTTGAAAGGTTGCAACAGAATTTGTTTTTTTTAGTCATGCTTGCGAATATTCCGAACGAGAACTTTGACGAGTGTGAAAGCAGCTCGTCAGATTACTAACGTGGGAGGAAAAACAGGAACGAAATAGGAACAATAAAGAAAAAACAGAAACGAAATAGGAACAATAAAAAAAAAATAGAAACGAAATATGAACAATAAGGAAAAAAAAAAAATATGAACAATAAGGAAAAAAAAATATGAACAATAAGGAAAAAAAAATATGAACAATGAAGAAAAAAAAATATGAACAAAGTAGAAAAAAAAAATATGAACAAAGTAGAAAAACAAAATAAAAAAAAAAAAGGGATTTTTTTTTTTTTTTTTTTTTTTTTTTTTGGAAACGTTGTGGATGCCGCAGTGGGGTTCATCTCGAAAAGGAGATATGTAAAATGACGGGAGTATTCCACTGTTCCATATTTTGGTAAATAAATATTTGTGCATAGGTTTGTGTGTATATTGTGTTGTTGTATAAATATGTTCAACAAGCATATTCCGATACATGTTTTTATGTACCTCTACTTATACATATATATATATATATATATACATATATATATTTGTAACCTAGACGTTTGTATTTTGTGTGTTATTATTTATTTTGCTGCCATCATATAACAGACACAATTTTTTTTTTTTTTTTTTTTTTTGTAAATAAGTATATGAGAAATTATATCCCATTTAAAAAAAAAAAAAGAAAAAAAAAAAAAGATCCTTTAATGACAATCTTTGCGATTTATATAATGAAATGTATGCGTGGGTTTTTTTTTGGATTGGATTGCCTGCGATGTGGCTTTATCCACACATTTTTTAAAAACATGATTTTTATTTATTAATCTATTTAATAGACAATGGCACATAATATGTACACGTGCATATGCGCTTGTCATATTCATTATGTGTCCTGACGCCACACCTTTCCATTATGCTGTGTGTGTTGTTGTAAATGTGTTGTGTGTGTGTGTGTACTTATGCGTATGGCATATATATAGAGACATTTGTACATATATAACCATATGCATATATACATATATATGCACACATGTGTATATATAATGTAAATTTTTGCAAATCCTACATTTTCCCATGTGTTGCTCTTTAAACTTTTGTCAAATTAAATGAAAACAACAAATTTTAAAATGCAATTAACAAATTTTAGTAATCCAAGAAAGAGAAGTTTTAGATCGGTCTAAATATATGTAACGATGTAGTGCTCGAGTGGAGCTGTGTGGGTGTGGATATATATACATACATATACATATATATATATATATATATGTATGTAGCTGAAAGACACATTCCATATTTTTATAAATGGTACAAAAGTATTTAACGAGTATAAAGAAATAAAAAAATGTGCTTTTTTTACATATTTATAAAATTTCACATGAAATAAGTGGAGAGTTCAAAAGGTTAAAAAAAAAAAAAAGTCTTGCTGCTTTATGAATATATATAAAAATTTGTGCAGCTTTTTTTTCCACACTTTTCTGCACTTGTTAATTTTCGTTCACATTTGAATGCATAAAAAAATAAGTGAATGAATGGATAAATAAATATATATGTAAATGTATGAACAAATGAATGAATAATAAAATAAAAAATTAATCAGACAAAAGGTAAACATATTTTTAATCTAATTATATTGTATAGGAGAGAGGGGGAACCGTATGTATAATATATATATTTATATATGTATATTTGTATATATGCAGATAACATAAAAAGTGGAGAAGCTGAGTTTTCCTTTTCATTTTTGTAAAAATGATGCGCCTTCTTCAATGTTTAATAATGATATATATTGTGTGTGCAAAACTGTGACAAAATGTGGCCTCCATTCGTGTGTGCACAATATATTGCCCATCCAGTATATGTGGTGGGGTTACAATTCCTCAGCTATGTAGAAAATACACATCAGCAATTCAATTCCTCCACGTGTGTGTTGTAATATGATCGAAGTTTTTGGTGCAATTTGTGTCTGGCTCATCCTGCACATTGTTCATCACACTAAAGTTTGGAAAGTTTTGATGAGGCATACTATTATTCATGACAGAAAAGTCTAACTTCTCATACACATTATTTTGACAATACATTGCACGATTGTTCTTCATGCTGTCGTTCATGCTTCTTTCCATGTTGTCATTCATGCTTCTTTCCATATTGTCATTCATGCTTCTTTCCACGTTGTCGTTCATATTTCTTTCCACGCTTTTGTCCATATTTCTGTCCATGCTTCTGTCCATGCTTCTGTCCATATCTCTGTCCATGCTTCTTTCAAAGTCCATATCGTTCATAGTAATCATGGTGTTCACGTTTCTCATTTCTGATTTTGCACAATTATATCCATAATGCATTATTTTTCCATTCGATATGTGCTCTGACGTGTGCTCGTGCATAGTATTACCATTATAATCACTCATGTTGCTTTGAGACCTTTTATTTTCCATATGAATAATTCTACGTGAACTGTCCTCCTCCTCTTCCACTTTTGGGAAATCTGACGATATGCCATTTGTTCTGTTACTACTATGATACGGATGATGATTCGGGTAGGGCGATGGGGAGTGATGCTCATTCTGAGGTGATAGATGTGATTGATAGTGGCAGTGATTCATTGGGTGGTCCTCCACTGAGTGATCCATCGGGTGATCCATCGGGTGGTCCATCGGGTGGTCCATCGGGTGGTCCATCGGGTGGTCCATCGGGTGGTCCATTGAGTGATCCATTGAGTGGTCCATTGAGTGGTCCATTGAGTGATCCATGTCATAATCCATATCGTGATCCATCGTGTAATCCATTGTATTATCAAGGCCATACTCAAGCCTATGATCATTGTTACTATTACTACCAACATCATTATTCATAGTGTAAGAATTTTCTCCTTTGGATGAAGTCTTCACATACGCAGTAAAGTTTTTATTTACGTTATTCAAATATGAACAGAATAACAGATGCCTATGTAGATTGTGTTTATCTAAGAATTCATAATTAATTTTTAAGGTTTCATCTGCTATTGCTTCCCAATAATGCCACACAGTTTTTGGTATTCTAACTTTTAAGTTTACTTTTCCATTGCTTTTTTGTGGGATATTGCATCGTAAATATGCAAAACCTTGATCATACAGATTTCTTAAATTTATATCATAAGATTCTTGCGTATTGTAAACTTCATGAAGTGTATATTTCTTAGCTTGGATTAACAAATTGTCACCCCAATCTACTAAAAATTCACATTCGAGTGTAAATAAATCTCTCAAAACCATACCACCCAATTTGTTAAAAGTTATTTTTATAAAACAAAAATTTTTGGAATAATTTTCATCTGGAAATCCATTGTTTGGATAAATTCCTGATATTTCAAAATATGGTTCATCTAGTTCATTCTTCACTGTTGGGAGCATGATATTATTGTCATCTAAAATTAGGATGTCCAATTCAAAGCACTCATTGGTGCTCGTACCCTTGCTTTTTCTCGGATTGTTCACAATGTTCTCTTCATAGAACTTTAACTCATCATTGACAAATTCAGTGGCTTTCTTTATCAACTCCTGGTTGTATAAACTTAGAGTCCGTTCCAAAACCATGTGTTCATTGTTGTTCTCCGCGTTCATAATCCGAGCGTCGAAAAAGCTAAAAAGGGGTGGGGAAATAATCATAAAATAAAGGAAAAGGAAAAGAAAAATAGTAATAATGAACAAATAATTGGCTAGCTAATTTGGCAGAAAAAAAAAAAAAGAATGTATCTCTGTGGACTCCTCAGGGGAGGGTGCGTTGATCGAGATATGTCCAATTCTTTCTCTTTCTCTGCATCTTTTTTCTCTCTCTTTCTCTGCATCTTTTTTCTCTCTCTTTCTCTGCAGTTCTCCTTTGCCGCCTCTACTTACTCATTCCGAACAGAGTTGTAGTATTCCAACTCGGGGATTCCCAGTCTCCACATGACCTCCTTCCAACAGTCTAGTGTTGCGAGGTGGGGTGGGGAAAAAAAAAAAAAAAAAAAAAAAGTATACACGATATGTGTGCATGTGTCTGTGTGATTCGAGATGCAAGATGGCGAAAATATATATATATACTTAAAAACACGCTTCAGTTTCAGATGCACATCCCAAACATAGCAAACTGAACCCTAATGGGAAGTATATATACATATATATATGGCATTGTGCTACGTGTAAAAAAGCTCTCTCTCTCCTCCTCCCCTTACTTATATTCCTTTGGTAGTGTTCTGTTGCAAATTTTTGCTTCAGGATGTGACGTCCGCAAGCACGACACAGTGTCCTCTCACTTTGACGATAATAAAAGTCTATACGAATGTCTCCAATGAACTGATCACCACGGGTAACAGTTCTAACTTTTATGATATCTGTGCTAGGAAATTCCCACAATCTTTCAAATAATTCATCTACGAGAAGAACAGTTTTAAATCCAGTAACCCTTTGATTTATTGGTCGTATATTTTTATACAGTTCTTTTGGTACATCTTCCATTTTGTATGTCTTCCAATTTGCACCACTTTTTAAAACAGTTAAATTTTTTAAAAGTTCTTTAGCTTCTTTGTAATTGAAAGAGGTGTAATTATTTGTTTTTTTATGCATGCGAAATTTCTTATACATAGAATTATTACAACTATCTTTCATGGAATCTTCATACGTTCTCTCCATTTCATGATTATTTCGATTATGACTTCTCCTTCTTCTTTTAACCCTTTCCTTTTCTTCAACTTTATGATCATTCCTATTTTTATGTTTTATTTTTCCTTCTGTTTCGATTAGGCCATTTTCATTGGCCGAGGATATTACTGATCCTGCTTCTGATCCTGCTTCTGATCCTGCTTCCGATCCCACTTCTGATCCCACTTCTGATCCTACTTCTGATCCTACTTCTGTTCCCACTTCTGATCCCACTTCTGATCCCACTTCTGATGCCTGGTTAAGACAGCCATCCATGCCACAAAAATTGTTCTTCATACCATTGCTGTTATCTACTGCTCTTTCTACTCCTCCTCCTCCTAAATCAGTCTGAACTAACGGTAACCGTAAAACATTTTCATTATTAATATCCAAAGACATTTCATCTTTAATATCCATCATGTTGTGATAGTGGTTATAGTCCCCTGACATTACATGCATTCCTAAGACTTCTCCACCACCACCTCCTCCTACTCTTCTTCCCACTTCATTCATTTCATATGGATAACTACTACTACTACAATTGTTTATATCCTTCATTTCTTCTTTTATATAAAAGTTATTTATATTCATATACTCACTACAATTAAATCCGTTATTGTTCATAGTGTTCATCATATTGTTGTACATGTCATTTCTCATCATGTGATGACAATGGTGATGATGTCTCATATTCTGCATCTCATCAAAATGTTCGTGATTTATTCTATCATAATATGGATGTAAATCTTCATAATGCATTTGCATTCGTTCACGTTGTAGTTCGTGATGCATATGCATATGCATTTTCTGTTGCTCTTCCTCCTCCTCCTCATCATTATACATCTTTTTCCGTTTTCCCATAATATAAAAATCCTTAATTGGATATCCATCATCTTCGTTTATAAAATATTTATTATTATTGTACTTTTCTTCAAAATTTTGATAACTAAACTTCTCTTCATTCGTTCCTTTTCTCCTTAGAGAATATCCATTCCCTACATCTGAACTTGTGCATCCCTCAAATCCTCCTGCATTGGTTCCTAATCCTGCACTGGTTCCTAATCCTGCATTGGTTCCTAATCCTGCATTGGTTCCTAATCCTGCATTGGTTCCTAATCCTGCATTGGTCCCTAATCCTGCTCTTGCTCCTCTTCCTCGTCCTCTTCCTCGTCCTCGTCCGGATCGCGTACCACCACTACTGCTACCTCTTCCTCGTCTCATTCCATTCCCTAATGATGATGTTCCTCCTCCACGGCTACCTCCTCCACCCCTACTACTTCTACTACCTCCTCTTCCACCTCTCATTCGTCTTCTCTGTCCACTTGTTGCAACAATAACACTAGATGATGTTGTTGTGATTCCAATAGTGTTGACTGATTCTGCCGTTTTTTCCTTCGTGGCTAGTTCAGTTTGGATATTCTTCACACGACGACCACTTGCAACTGATCCAGAGGCTCTTCCTCTTGGCCTACGAATGATTACATTTCGAACATGTCCATTTATTCCATTTTCATTGTTCATATTCATAATATTGTACTCTTTTTCTGATTCTTTATTCTCTTCATGCTTGAAATGCTTGTGGTGATTGTCTTCCATTTCTACTTTTGTTCCTTCATTAAAGTGGCATCCTGCCACCACAACTCCTAAGTCTTTTGCAACGTGATTCAATAATGATGTTCTTCTATAGTCAAACTTGTTCCAAAAATTAAACAACTTTTCCTGAAAGCAGTTAATGTAATATGTTTTTATTATCTTATGTTTTATAATTTTCTCATAACATGTCAACAGTGCACAATTCTTGATGAAGAACAAGTTCATGGGGCTTATTTTTCGGCATTCGATTAGATCTGCATGGTTGTCTTCTACGAGATCCAGAGTGGTGTCCCCTTCTGCCATGGTTACATTGTGCAGTTTCGGCTCTTCATCAATGTGCAGTTTCGTCTCTTCACCATTGTGCAGTTTCGCCTCTTCCTTCAACTGCTTCTCCTCTTCCTTCAACTGCTTCTCCTCTCCCTTCAACTGCTTCTCCTCTTCCTTCAACTGCTTCTCCTCTCCCTTCAACTGTTTATCCTCTTCCTTCTCTCCATTATGATCCACCTGGACGTCGACATAATTCTCCTTCGAATGACCTATTGGATCATCGCTTGTCGAATGAGCTATTTCATTTTTATATTCATTAGTACTAAGGATTGAAGCCATGAACACATCGTAACTAAAGTTCATCTTTGGTAGCATGTAAGTAATTTTTCTGTTACATTTTTTCTTGTTCATAATTTTAAAATATCGCAAGTAGCTAGAAATACTAATACACTCTAAGCTTTCAAAATAATATTTGCAGTAATTTTCATAATTTATATCATCATCACTGAGGTACTTGCACAAATGCTTGCTATCATTACAAATATCGATTTTTTCCTTACCTTGTTTTATTTCATCATCATCTTCTTCTTCTAATTCATCTCCTTCTAATGCATCTGTTCCTACTTCTCCTCGTGCTTCTGGTATCTTTTTTGTTTTTTTTTTCCTTTTATTATTATCTTTATATATACACTCATCATCAGATTTGTATCCTCTTGAAATATCGTCAGGAAGCACCATCTCCTCTTCTATCAAGTCATGCTGAAGGAAAATATTGTCGTTACTCTCAAATTGATGGGTGATTGCACTAGTGGGGTTCACAGTTTCTCCAATAGTACTATGCTCTAATCCTGAGGAATTTTTATACTGATGAGACATACTGATATTGCAACGCGAAGCATACATTCGAGTCCCTTGTGAATTATTGCTTATTCGAGATCTTGTTCTTGTTCCTCTTCCTACCACTGCTGTTGTTGTTCCTCTTCCTACCATTGCTGCTGTTGTTCCTCTTCCTACCATTGCTGCTGTTGTTCCTCTCCCTCTGCCTCTACCTCTTCCACGCCCAACTCCTCTTCTTCTATCATCAGTGCTTAATGTCTTGCTTCCACGGCTTCTCTTGGTCTTATTGTTAACTACTGTAAGTATGCCTTTTCTTCTTCTCCTCCTCCTTCGTGTTACAGTTCTGTTACTATTGTATGTACTAATGGCACTGCAGTTTTCATCATAACCATGGTTGTAGTAGTCCTTCTCATTGTTAACCCCCATGTTTATTATTCTCATTTCATTTTCTTCTTTCTTTATTATTTCTCCACTTTTGTATGGCGCGGTGGTGCTGTGGATAATGGTTCCACCTTCATTTGGGTTCATATTTGGGTTCATATTTGGGTTCATATTTGGGTTCATATTTGGGTTCATATTTGGGTTCAAATTTGGATTCATATTGGGGTTCAAATTTGGATTCATATTTGGCACCATTGAATTGTGTATTCTTCCATCTTTTGGTGGTTCATTCATCATCAGGAGTGAATCATCCGCTCCATTTTTTCCGAATCTGTCGATTGCGTCATGTCGACTTCCATTTGTACGTCCACTTCCACCAATTTGCCTCCTCCTCATGTTCAACTTGAGCCACATTTTCCTACTCCCGTAGTAATTTTTTAGAAACGATACGTAATTTCTTCGAATGCTCGAGTTGAAATTATACTTTTTTTTCACAAATGAAAGAGATGCATTGAAGAAATTGTAACGGATGCTCTTTGCATTATTCCACATGCCCTTCCTTCTACCATTTCCCATTTCTGTTTTAGTCTGTACAAGAAGCCCACTTCCACCAACAACCATTGCTCCATTCGGTTCACTTCCATCAACAACCATTGCTGCACCCGATTCACTTCCACCAACAACCATTGCTGTACCCGATTCACTTCCTCTACCAATAGCACGGCGATTACCACGACTTCCTCTACGACCTCTCCTTCCACGAGTTCTATAACTACTGCTCCTCCGGACACCACCATGAACATTTAGAGGATATGCTCTACGCGTAGTTATCGTTGTTGTTGTTGTTGTATGATGAGAAATTGATGATCCTCTACATCTACTTCTTCGACCAGCACGACCAGTACCTCTACTTCTAGGACGACCACTACAACGACGAGTGCTTCTAACACTGCTACAACCTCTGATACTTTGTTCTCTGATCCCATTCGTCATTACATCTACTACACTACTGCTAATAATGCTTGTGCTTTTTTTTCTTCTTCCTCTTCTTGTACCTTTTGTAATTCCATTGTTTAATTTGTGATAATCGGTTTGGTCAAAATGGTTGTAATATCCATTTCTTATTTGTACCAGTAGTCCTTTTTCCTCACCTCTTTCCTCACCTTTTCTGTCACTTTCAACTCTTCCTCTCACACCATGCAAATCGTCAATTTCATTTTCTTCCATGGCAATGTTGTTATTATTTACGTGGTACATAAGCTTCGGGTAATAATCTTTGGATTCATTAAGGTAGTTACTACCATCGTGAAAGTTACTACCATCGTGAAAGTTACTACCATCGTGAAAGTTACTACCATCGTGAAAGTTATTACTGTCGTGAAAGCTACCACCATCGTGAAAGTTATTGCTATATTCAGAATTATTGCTGTAATGAAAGTTGTTGCTATGGTGAAAGTTGTTGTTATGGTGAAAGTTATTGCTGTAATGAAAGTTATTATTATAGTGAAAGTTATTATTATAATGAAAGGCGCTGCAATTGCTATGGACGCTGCTCCTATTTTGCAAAGAGTTCATGTGGTGAAATGAATTACTATCATTAATCATCATGGGGTAACTGTGTGCCATTCCTTGACTATTAATAGTTTCCCAGTTATTTTCCTCTTCCCCTTCTCCTAGTTCTTCTCCAAGTTCTTCTTCTAACTCTTCCTCTAACTCTTCTTCTATCACTCGATCCTGTTCCAATTCATTTTTGTTAATCTCACTGTTTCTAAATATGCAACTATTGTCATGTTGCTGTCCTGCAATGTCAGAACAATTTACTTCCTTACTGGTTGCCGTTGTAGATGTACTTGTAGTGGTCGAAGGTAAATTGATGTTTATATTTTTGTAATCATTTGATGGATTCACCATTCCTTCTTTCCCCTTGTCGTGAACTCCATGCACAGCAGAGGCAGAGACAGAAGGTAAGGAAGAACCTATGGCAGAATCTACAGCAAAATCTACAGCAGAATCTACAGCAGACGCTACAGCAGAAGCACTTCCTCCTCTTCTACCTTTGCTGTCAAAGCACTTATTGGACGAATTATACATCAAATTATTTCTCTCTTTTCTACTACGACCGTTATTGTTACATTCACCATTTAAAAGTACCCCTCCTCTCCCATTGCTATTCATATGAAAAAATTCATCCTTTTCATTAATATCTTTACTAATGCTGCTGCTGCTTCTACCGTATGTGTAATTGTCATACTTGGTGGACTCATAAGCATTGTCATTGTAGTACTCATTACTGTTCTGATTATTGAAATTTCGATAGCAATTCAAGTATTCCATAACCTCAGGAATTATATCATTATTCTCCCCTATTCTTGTTTCCATATCGATTATATTACTACGGTTGTTATTACTACCATTCACATCTGCCTTACCTACATTATTCCAATCATTTCCTCGATTTGTATTCTTCATGTGATTCAGGTGACCAAACATGTTTATCTGTTGATTTTTCATCTTGCCGTTCATATGTCCATTGTATTCTGTCTTTACAGAATCAAACAGGGTATTATTATTTTCATTACATACAAATTCCTCTCCTTCTTTTCCTCCCTTCTGCACATCATTTGATGAGGTCATATGTAATAAATAGACATCCTGAAATGTATTTAACACACCTTTATTATTATTGTTCTCTTCTCGTCCACTTCCATTTCCTCCCTTATTGTTACCATTATCTGTATTCATATCATTGACATCACTTATGATGCCTCCATGTTGATTGTAAAGGTAGCTATTCACACCGTTCATTTGATTGTTCTCACCGTTCATTTGATTGTTCACACCGTTCAATTGATTGTTCACACCGTTCATTTGATTGTTCACACCGTTCATTTGATTGTTCACACCGTTCATTTGATTGTTCACACCGTTCAATTGATTGTTCACACCGTTCAATTGACTGTTCACACCGTTCATTTGATTGTTCTCACCGTTTCTTGATGCAATATTGGATTCAAAAGAATCCCTGTTCATATTTTCCTCCGCATAACTGTTTCCTAAAGTAGCTAAGTTACTTGAGCTATCTCCATTGACATTCATATCTATGTTACTACTCCCATTATCCATGTTATTCATACTCGTTTTTCCTACACTTCCATATGCACTTGATGCTTGTAAATTGTTTGTTCCTTTAATATAAGTGTTTTCTGATTTTTCCCTATAATCTGCATTTTTTTCATTTCCATAATCAAAATATGATTTTATTTTATGGGTAAAGCTAAAAAGGCTATTTACAGCTTCATTCTTTAACACATCCTTCTTTATGATACCATTTTTAAATGAGCTATTCTGTATTTGCACATTATTCATGCATTCATTATGTAAAATGTTTTCCATTTTTTTCTTCTGAAGATGCTTACAAATGCATTCTTACTTATTCTATCTACACAATGTATAACACAAACACGCAGGGTGTTATATCTGTGCTCAACTTGCAATGCCTTGGACTTTTGTCTTTACACGTAAAAGTTTGTTTTTCTCACTGATTTCTTCCTTTTTTTTTCTATTCTATTTGGGATGTGTAACGCTTCACTCGGATGTTTAATCTCAGTTCAGATGCGAGAGGGAGCGTGCCGTGGAAAACCAACATCCCAAGGGTACTGCTCTTCCTCTTGCTCTCTTGACACCTTTGAACATAACCTCATACGTTGGAAAGGGCTACCCGAACAAGCCTTTCTCTTTCTAATGTTTCTCTTTCTAATGTTTCTCTTTCTTATCTTTCTGTTTTATTTTTTCTTTCTTCTATTTCCTTCTTCTCTTAACCACACACAAACACAAACAAAAAAAAAAAAAAAAAAGACACAAAAATATATAGCATGTACGTTATAAATATAACACGTTCCCGCGAACGGTCATATGCAACGATTCCTATTTTTGAAAAAATGATTCTATTTATAATATTCATGAAAAAGGGTGGGTGTATTTATATGTTCTCTGTTTTTCTACAATGTAGTTTTAATGTGTGCATACATTTGTTTATTACCATGATTGTGATGATTGTGATGATTGTGATGACTGTGATGATTGTGACGATTGTGACGATTGCAATGATTGTGACAACAACAATGATGATAATAGAATGTGAATTTAAAAACGAAGCACCACTAAAAGCTTATCTATTTTTCGCTTAGAGGTAATAATGCCATGGCAACATGCATGGTGTGTACCTTTCAGAATTCTCTACCGAGCCATGTACACATCAAGTACATAACTCATGTATATATATATATATATATGTATATAGGTTCAGCCCCTGTTGTGTTTATCTTTATAAGTAAATTTTGTACGTGTGTATATTTGTATGTATATGCATAATGCACATATGTACATATACACAAATTAGCATGTATATAGGGGAGGGGGAGGTTTCATATATGAAATTACAAATGTAAAGGTGCTAAAAACGAAGCATATTTTAACTACGTTTTCTAATCAAATAGGGTATAAAAAAAAAAATAATAAAATATTAAAATAACTAAAAAAAGGGATAACACAAAAAAAAAAAAAAAAAAAAAAAAGAAAAAAAAAAAAAAAAAAAAAAAAAAAAAAAAACAAAAAAAAAAAAAAATATTTTTTTTTTTTTTTTCTTTTTTTTTTTTTTTTTACTTTTTTCAAGGTTTTAAAATTGATCTAAATAAATACGTTAAAAAGAAAAGAAAATGTATACATGCAAACATGCAATGTATATATATGTTCGTGCGTTTACGGAAATAAACAGATTTACAGAATTACGTTTTAAAACACAACAACACCTGTATGTTTATTTAATAAAATCATCACAATTAAAAATAACTAAAAAGTGGATGAAAAGAATAGCACCGGGAATATTTCTACAGACGGGTTGCGTTGAAGGGAGAGGGGATGTGGCACATGTACGTGTGAATAGATATGCATATGGTTCAAATGTGTATGCACGTGTGCATGTATATAATATGTATAACAGTTCAGTGTCATACCAACACGGTTGATTAAAAAAAAGGTTTTTTTCCTTTTGTTCTACTTGTTCAAATTCCATCCTACGCTCAAGGCCTTCATTTCTTTATATATATATATATATATATATATATATTAAGGCATGAAAGGGAGAAAGCCATAAAATGATCTTAAAATTTTGTAAAAGCAGAAGACCACACATATACATATAGGAATACATATAGGTATACATATATGTATACGCATATGTATACATGTATATATATTACGTACACAAAATGGGACATGTATTCAAATTGGAACAATGAAAAACTAGGATCAGGTTTATGGTACGTACAAATTCATGGGCATGATGTCTAGAGGGTGCAAATTTGAGGTTGATACAAAGAGAAAAAGCTGATGAACAACAAACAGTGTGAATAATAAAATAAGAGTAAAAAAGCGTGTGCGCTGAAGAAACATGTTGTAACATATGAAAAAAATAAATTGCTTTCAATTCTTGGAAAAACAAAATAAACCTTGAAAATAAATCAAACAAAAAATGCAGATGAATGGACAAATTATCGAATATGTAAATAACTTGAAAAAAAATAAGAACAAAAATGGAATAAAAAGAGAGAAAAAAAATTGAAAAAATGGGGGGAGAAAAAAAAATATATATATAATATTATTCAAAAAAGTAGTACATACATATATGTATATATATATACATATATATACATATATATATATATATATATAATACAGCATATGCACAAAAATATACATGCATATATTTAATCTACTTTCAAAAGAATTCTAGAAAATGGGGAAAAAAAAAAAAAAAAATGAAAATAAAGAATAAATGAATTATTATTCTTTTTTCTTTTGCAAAAAACCAAAAGGTTGTCGTATCGATGTCGTCCTTTCTTTCATTATTCTTTTTTTGTTTTTTTCTTCTTTGTTTTTTTTCTTCTTTGTTTTTTTTTCTTCTTTGTTTTTTTTTCTTCTTTGTTTTTTTTTCTTCTTTGTTTTTTTTTCTTCTTTGTTTTTTTTTCTTCTTTGTTTTTTTTTCTTCTTTGTATATTTTTTTTCTTTGTATTTTTTCTTTTTTCCTTTTTTTCTTTTTTCCGTTTTTTCTTTTTTCCTTCTACATTTCTTTTTTGTATTTTTCTGTTTTTTTTTTTTTTTTTTTTTTTTCGGTTCCCAAAAAATAAAATAAGTGCATAAAAAAAGGAAATGCAGATTAGAATTTATGGATATAGAAAAAAGGTGCTTATAAAATGTTGTGACAAGGTAGTAAATACGTATACCCACATAGATATACCTATATATGTATATATATACATACATATATACATACATACATATATACATACATATATACATACATATATACATACATGTATACGTAAAAATTCAAGCATTAGTATTGTATACAATAATAATTACTATGAATAATTTCAAAAAAATGGATATTAAAAATATGTTAACAATCCAAAAAAGGAAAAAAAAAAAAAAAAAACCTCCTTATAAATCATAAAAAAAAAAAAATACATATCCTCTTGGGATAATGTTGTATTGTATATATACATACTTGCATACATACTTGCATACTTACATGCATACATACATGCATACATATATGCTGGTAAAACAACACGCATTTGAGAGAAAAAAAAAAAAAAAAAAAAAAAAAAAAAGGTTCCATAAAAAGAGATAAATTAAATATATTCTTTTATATATATGCTTGGATCAATAATTGTCGCAAAACTTTTAATGATCTGTTTTGAAATCATGAAAAAATACATTATATATATTATATATAATGCAAAACGCATACACAAATAAATCCTAATTGATGAACGAAAAAGAAAAAAAAAAAAAAAAAAAAAAAAAAATCGCGAAAGAGAAAAGGGGAAAACGCAAATGAAAATGAAAATCAAAACGAAAATCAAAATCAAAATCAAAAGGAAAAAAAAAAAAAAAAAGGATCAGGTTTAAAGAGCACGCAATAAAATAATATAAAAAGGTTCTCAGGAAGTGCAGTGATGCGTATTGTAACAGGGTGAAAAAATAAAATAAAATATTTGGAACCTCAAGTATGGAAATATAATAAATGTTAAAGAGTTCTGACAATTCTGTCCGTTTGTCTTATTTTGGTAAAAAGGATCGTATATCCATGAAAACATCTGCATACAAATATGAGCAACGTGGAAGTCATTCAAGCACATAGGAGTATATATATATGTACACTGATATATGTGCTAATATGTGTGCCAATATGTGTGCCAATATGTGTGCTAATATGTATACTGATATATGTGCTAATACGTATGCTTATATGTATGCCTATATGTATGCTTATATGTAATGTATAAAATTTCACGAGTTCTGGGAAGAGCTGCATAAAAGTTACATCCCTCCCTCCTGTTTACGTGTTCTTTTGGCATACAGTGAAATCCAGTTAATATACAAGCTTAAGACTTAGATTAATTTGTTATGTGCTATTATACCTCCTAATGCATTAGACTTTTAGGTTGTGCATACTTCTAACACATGTGTGAGGCTTTATTGGTATTATAAATGTGGCTTTACACCTACATATGAGTCATTATTGGTGTATGTAATATGTATATATGAAAGTATAAGAAAATAAAATATATGAAAAAGTAAAATGCATCTATATATATATATATATATATTGTGCGTTCATATCACATAATATAACACACTGAATGACACATGTAAATGCTTACTTCTCCATAGACCCCCGTGGCGTGGAAAAGTATGATTAAAATGGAACTACATAATGTTATGTGTGCACGTGTGTGTATGTGTTGGCCCAACTCTCGATAGATGCCCTCTTTTGAAAGTTCACATATCACTCGTGGAAGGTGTGCATCTATGATAACTTCAAACCGTGAAGTCTCTAAGGAAACATACATACACATGAATAGCAGATTTGTATATTTGTTGCTTATTTGAATCGTGTGTATATACATACAATACCACAATCTAATATACGTGCTTAAGAAATATAAATGTGTGCATCTATAAGCATTTATGCGTCCCCCTATCCCCTTGAGAAGGAGCTACCTGTTCTTATAATTTATGTATCTATTTATTCATGTGTAATATATGTAAATATGTAATCTCTCTCAGAAAAAGGGAGAAAAAAAAAAAAAAAAAAAAAAAAAAAAAAAGTGGTGTAAATATATATATATGCACATAACATGTTTAAAATGGTACGTTCTTTTTTTAAATATTAAACGAGAAAATTTTTCTTACATGGAAATATCATTTTTCATATATCTAACAATTTTGATTTTTCACGTTTTTGTTTTGTTTTGTTTTGTTTTGTTTTGTTTTGTTTTCTTTTCTTTTCTTTTCTTTCCTTTTTTTTTTTTTTTTTTTTTTGTTGT